GTGAACTGCCGTTCACTGAGAGTTTGTATACTCTCGGAAGCTAACTTCCTCTAGCGCAAGGTGCTGTGTGACCCCGTCACATGCTTAAAGTCGACCATTCTGGAGCGGTAGTATTTTATTATTAACGTCTTGATCGAAAAGGACGCGATGCTATTGGATATTTTTTTAGTCGCATGAGCCAATGGCAGACTAAAGATTTTATTCCCGATCGGAGCGCGAGGAGTAGGGCACGCATGCGTTTACTTGACGCACCGGGCCTAAGGCTGATTCTCAACCGGCACGACCGCACCGCACCGCAGCGCATGGCTTTGTAACGTGCGGCCGCATCGGTTGAGACCAAAACCAGCGACTGCGAGCAATCAATAACGACAGCTGGTGGTTACAAATAAATATTTAGTGATCTCAGCCGGCACATTCCAAGACTTCACCAGCAAAGAGTAAGTGAACCTGAACTACATGTATATGTATTTTACTAGCAGCTCACTAGCCGTGTTGCTGCATACAGAATGTCATCTCCTGGACAGGCAGCGCGTACGCCCAGCGCGCTATCACAGCACGGACTCTGGCCGGCTAAGCATTTGCAGCACCAAATAAAAAAACTCGTTTTCTTCAGCTTTAAGTAGTAGTTGTAAGTTAGACATGGTAGTGAACGAATGTGTACCTCGCGAACGAAACAGGAAGTGATCTTTTTAAGGTTGAAGCAGACACCCCCATAAGATCGTGAGTCACAAATCATTTTGATTGGTTATTCTTCACTCGACCCCTACACTGTACGTTTAGCGCATGCGGGCAAATTGCCGCATGAGCGTCTTTTTATGAGCTTCGTCGCATGCGACCACCTACCCCGTAAGCCAATTAGAAGACTCTATTTGTCCTCCTGCGGCCGCATGCGGTCTATATTTCCGGTGAGAAATGAGCCTAAGGCCCATTCCCGTGAGGCCGCATGCGGCCAATGTGAGGCCTGTGATTGGCTGAAGCTCGCGCCGGGTGCATACATCAAAAAACATAAAAAGGTCCGGATGTGGCCATTTCAATGCATGTGCTCGAAAGGACGCATAAGGAGGCTAGGTTTACCGGTAGAGAGTGAGCCAATCAGAGTGAAGTATATGTTGAAGACGAGTTTGTACATTCTACTAAATACACAATCTACTAAATGCTATTTTTTAAGATTATCCAAGCACTACGCAGCAAGCAGCAATGACAGCACTACGGTCGAAGAAAAAGGCAGAGACGGATGCGTTCTGTACAATAGTGTTCGGGCCAGTGATGAATATGATTGCACAACATTGCACCAACTCAAGAGGAGACAGTGAAGCCGTCCGGAAACGACTGGATTGGGATGTCCATGCACAATTTCTCATCGTGGAAGGAATCGACCTGCTCACAATGTAAGTCACCGTCTTAATACCCAGAACTAGATTAAAAAGATTTTTACAAGTACGTCTTCTGCAGCTCGATACTGAGGCGGTTCCGTTCTTCCATAAGCCGAGCTCTGTCCTTTTGTAATAGATCTGCATATCCTGCGTTTAACGTGTCTGGTGATGCCAGATACCTTGTTAAGTTAACATATTTGACCGCGAACTCTTTCAAGCTTGTCATAGATCTTGGACCGTTCCTCAAGCTGACTTGAGCGGGATACTCTGAGAGCCTCTTCTTTTCTTTCCTCCGTTTCTCTCTGTGCCTCCTCCTTTCTGTCCTGGACGTACGATTTGAAAGATGAAGCCATTTCTTCTAAAGCTTCATGACTCTTTCGCTTTGATGGAGTTATGTCGAGCACTCGCGCGCAGGTCAGTGTAGTGGGGTCCTGTGTATCGACCTCATCGCTTGCCAACAAACTACCCTTGACGAAGTTATTCAGGCCAGTTTTTTTTTCTATTGCATAGTAAATAACAATTAGCAGAAGGTCTGGCGCTCCTGTTTATTCGTAGTTTACTTACCGAAAGCCACTTACGCAGGTATAACACATCTCCACGGCCTTTCACAAAGTTGCAATACTCGTTATCATTTTGCCCTGACGCTGAAAACTTCGTATGGGCTTCGAGGTAGTTTCTGTTAACTTCGTTCCTCATGCTGTACAGCTTTTTAGATGAGTGAACAGTTTTTGCTAGCGGTGGTGAAGAAGTCGTCGTCGTCGTCGAATTCCAACCGATTGCGCTCATGGTCCGGAGGGCAAGCGCCCACGAAAGCTTCACGGACTTCTGTCCAGAAATCACTGCGATCAGTAAGCAGTTTACCATCCAACTCAGCTAGTGTAGCCGTATCACCTGGGGTGTAAGCCATTTCTCGTCAGATAATTATTTGTATGTGAAATTTGTATATAGTACCTGTTCTGGCAAACCTTGTTGCAAACTCATCGCTGAACAAAATGTTTATCAAGCGAAACATACAGTGCCTGCTACGCGTCGAATCTTCGGTGACTATCTGGACGTCATCTCCAGGGAGCTTCTGTGTGTACACTCGAATCGCGGCATCGTACCTCTCCAGTGCTTCATTGCGTTCTTGTTTTCGCATGCCAGACTTAAGCCGAAGCCCACGACGTGTACACTCTTTTCGGATCTCTTCTGCCTTCCAAGTTTTGTAGTTTAGGTTCGGGCTAGTCGAATTTGCAGTGGACGATGGATCAACTTTATGTTCCTCAGTATTTGTATGAGAAGTACCAGTATTCGACGCAAGAATGAGACTATCTTCAGAACTGTTCGAGTCTACATCGTGTCGTATATGCGATAACAGCGGATGACAGTACATGTAGTTTGGTGCTTCTGTAGACTGAGCAGCTGGTATGTACGGTGTAAGAGGGGGACGTTGGAGTGTGGACGCACTGGCATTCGTCTGCGAATCAGCCGGAAGCAAAGGGCGGCTCATTAGTGCTCTAAACGAGGTATTTGCTTCTTGGGATAGCAGCATTGATTGTCGAGGCTGGTGATTTGTCAACGCTCCAGGTAGAGTAGTAGCGCGATTGCTGGTGCTTTCTCCGTCTTGAAAATTCATAGCGATCAATTAATTGTCTTCTCTGTGCCGTCCACTAATCTTCTTGGACGTGCCTCTTCAACAACTGTAACGAGCCGACCAGTGAGAGCTTACTCACTAAAATCGGCCGCACTGGTATTTCCCAACAGGTGCGGCCGCATGAGCATAAAAGTGCTATGCGTTGGGAATGGCCCTAAGGGGGAAACTATGAAGCTCGAGCATAGAAAGTTCGAGGTACCCAAATTTCGAAATAGGGCTATATGGTGCACCTAACAAATGACCTAAATATCTATAGCTGCGCTAGGAGAATGCAGTATGCCATAGATGGCAATATATCGCGTAGCCATATTACGCCTCAGCTTTGCTAGACGGTGGCTCAAATTTGTGTAATACATCGACCATCCCAAATGAGGCGACAATTTCCCACTCTAGAGTTAGTATAGGCGCTTAGGAATGCGATCTATACTAAGGCAAGCAAATTGTACACAGACGCATGAAACTTGAACGTGTAGTGTTGACGGAAGTACTTGTTTTGCTGATCTACAAGTAGCCATGAACCTTTAATATTGCTTCAATAGAAATTAACTTGCTATACTTTAATCCGGGAACGCCTTAAAGCTCCGTGTGGGGATAAGCTAGCCGGTAGATTTCTTGATGGGTCCTATTTAGGCCTGGTCTCTTGGATCAGGAGTTCAATACCAATTTCAAGATAGTTCAATTCGATTAAGTACTATTTGCAATGTGACATTTGTGATGATAAACTGTAATGCGCTCTGTACGCTTTGAGTCGACGCTGCGGCAACGTTGTATGCCAAACCAGCTCGCCGCATAGGTGCCGCATCTCGTCCACTACCCCCTTCTAGGTTTGTCATGGACGAGATGCGGCACTTAAAGAGTAATAGAGTGGTATCTTTGCTCTTTCTCCTGATATTTTGCGTTTCTCACCGGCCTGTGCGGGTGTGCAACACTTGCTTCGCTGTAGTTAATGAGAATTTTGCGTCATTGAAGCTGTCACACCATACTTCTTCCGAGGTAAGCGGATGACAATACTATGCAGTGGTTGACAAAGAAGCAACCCTTACTTACACCTTTAACGCCTCACAATATCCACTGGTACACACACCATTTGCACAAACAAAACCTAAATTGAAGACTCCTGATTGCCTAGGTATACACGAACGAAGCGATTTATTAAGGCTGGCTTGGCTGCCTTTTGTTGAGGTCTTATGCAGATCAGGCCTTCTGGTTTGCACTAGTCTTGACTTACTTTTGGGCTGCTACTTGTCGACTCCTTAATTTAGCTAGAATAATGCAAATGCACCATTTCCGGTTCTAGCACATTCTCTTCCTCATAACCAATTTTACGACCTTTATATCTTGATCTAAATACTGCATTTTATAGAATAGACAGCCATTCAAACTCATTAAAGAAATGAATGGAATTAGCGCAGCCAGAAAAAAGATCGTAAAAATGTCCTGCTTTGGAGTAGTGACAAATATTACCATGGCCGTTAGGAAAGCTAAATGACTGTAATGAAATCTGACTTTGGAGAAGAGTATGGCTAGTAGGATTTATTGATGACTGTGGGGAAGCTTCGCCGATCGAGAACTTCTTGTAATCAACACCGCCATGTCGGTAGGACGTGCAAAAAGAGTAGCTGTGCTGATACAAAAAGTCCAACAAAAGCAAAAAGCAAATTTGGTACATCATTTTGGGTACACCCTAAAGCTCTATTTCTAAATTTGGATGAGAACCAAAAATATGCCGTATTTTTCATGCAATACTTGAGTAAATTATGCTCGACTACTTCGAAGTATTAATTGATTTCCGTGATGATGGCTATAAGTTATGACTTGAAGGTTTGTGCTGTAGAGATCACTCGTTTCTGTTGGATAAGAACCAATTCCTCCTTCAATCTTCCTATTTTGATCCGCTATAAATACCACCGATCCATTCCGAGCTCCATCATCTGGTCGGAGCGAGATAGCTCCCGCGTCCTCGTTGAGCTATCGAGAACTCAATCCGACACTCGAGTTCAAAGTCTTAAATAAACTTGGCAGCCACCCAACAGCTTCTCCGCCAGTCATAAGCGTACTTGCCTAGACTCCACCAAGCCAAGTTTCTCGACCATGGCAGACACCATGCAACGCTCGGTGCTGTTCAACCACACAGACTTGCCTCGCCAAGCGAAGACCCACGCCAAGAACAACGTGGCACCTGCTGGTCTTCTCGAACGCGCCTCCAAAATCCTGTCTGCCCACTTAAACGGAGTGAGTGAAGACGTCAAGAAAGACGGAACCCCTACGACTGAAGTCACCAGTCCAACATGGGGCAACACCATCCATAAGGAGCCTTTCCAAGACATGGACATGCTGGAAAGTGGTCACGCTCGAGAATACTTGGCCGAGGAATGTCTAAGCCCTACTCAAGCCAAGGCATGGACGTATTCTACCGTAGAACGGACCAACAAGAATCAGTACAAAATGTACTGGAACAATGATCAATTTCTGCTCAGCGCCAAGCAGATCGGCGGTACCTTTTACATCTCCCAATACGAGAACTTTCCCGAGACAGAAGACGCGGAAGAACCCACTGGACACTACTGTGCTGTGGTACGGAAGGCCACGGATCACAATTTTAAGCTCTACAGTTGCGGCTGTGAAGGATGCGACCAGAGCTTCAATACCTTCACTTGCAGTAACATCCACGAAGACGCCACCGCTGCAGCCGTCGAAGGCGCTGATCGTCAACTTCTCGCCGATATTTCGCACTTCACGAAAGCTGCAGGTGTTGTGGGCTCCGAGATGCGCTGCTTCTCGGTGGTTATCCCGGCTATCATGGACGATAAGCGGTCTCGCGTTGTCTGGTGTCCTCGAGTCAGTCGAAGCGTGACGACGTCGGGGGGTACACCAAGGGGTACACCAAAGGCTCGTCTCCTGACGTCGCCGTCTCCGCGTAACAAACACCAGCACATTTTCACATTTGACACACCTACAAGCGACCGCATTAAGATCGGCAGTAAATTACCGGTTTGGTGCCCGGAAGTCAACTCGCTAATGTTGAAATTCCATGGTGGTCGCATCCGTGAAGCTTCGGCCAAGAATTTCATGCTCATGCTCGAGGAAGAGCCAGCTGGGACTCTTGCGAGCCCAGTACCAGACCCGACAGGCAACAACCGCGTGGTCATGCAGTTCGGTAAGTTCTCCAAGTCCAAATTCGCGCTTGACTTCCGATTCCCACTAGCTCCAATCCAAGCCTTCGCCATCGGATTGTCCTCCTGCGCTTGGAACGTCAAGGCCACGAAGACATAGTCGAAATACGACGTGTATCATCATACACTACACGAAGTAGGTCTAGGAACGAGAAAACTAGTCACTGCAACTTAAGTATTATAAATTTTTACTTTTGTTTTAACAATTCTGTATTTTACAATAAAATCACTTGATCATCACCCTAGATTTTACCGTTTTGACGTGACCACGACTATACTTGGATCCCCTTCGGTAGTAATCCCTACTCTTGGAATGCTGTTTGACGGGAATGATCGCCAAAGATATTTTTTTACACCTCTCCCTCGTCCAGCACTAAGAAAAACGGAATTTCCACCTATGACTATTACGAGGTACTTAAATATAGGAAGGTCTCTATTGTTTGCTGCAAGGCGAGACTTTCTTACTAGCCAATAAATAAACGAGCCAACCGTCTGCGTTGCACATGAGTGCAACTGTCATCCGTGTTTTGTCCTTCGGCCATGTGTTTTCTGGTACGGATTCGCATTGGGAACAACAAACCGGCCTGGTCCATTAAAAAACGTTTTCAAGTAACAGCCTAGCTACAGGGTGTAGTAAGGCACTGTAGGCAACTTTCCGTCAAGTCACGACATAAGATACGGCTTTACATATTCAATTTTTGGCGTGGGTTCGGCAGCATTACAGACAACGACGGTGAAATCCGCCATACCATACAAATCCGCCACGAACACTTGAAGTTCAAAAATAAAAGATTTGAACAAGTTTTTATTTTAGCCAATGATAGAGTAAATTGAATCGACTGGTTCCTACGGGTAGCATATCACATATAGTTAGAATTTCTATCACTCTGGAAAGGGCGCCTCAGCGCTCCTATACAATTCTAACCAAGCGCGAAGCAATCGCGACTGCTGAGTCGTTAGGAAGCTGCCAAGCCGCATCAAAGAGACTAAATATCCCTCGCACGACTCTTCGCGACTGGCTAGACGATAAAGAGAACATCCAAGACTTTGCGGGTGCCCAAACCAGCAAAACCTTGAAGGGCCAGAGTGCAGCGCCGTTAATACACTTCTCTCACGATTTGGGAACCTTTATGAAGGATGTGCGACGAGAAGAATGGGTAAACCGCCTTCTTATTAATTTACTTTTTACATTGTGACCTAAAACCGCTTGTTGCTTAGTATTTGTACAGATTTACTGATTCAATATTTCAAAGAGCAGCAAACGCGATGGCTTCAAACGTATCTTGCTGGTAAGGAAAGCGGTGAGAAGGGTCTAAGTGCGTTTATGAGACTATGTCAGCGGTTTGGAATATCTTTTGATTTTGCTGATTTTATATAATTGCTTTATTAAATAGTGTGATAATGGGGGAGCTACTAACACATTCCGGTTGTCCTGTATACTCAGTGCGGGAGAGCCGGTTTATGGATGCCAAAAGTGGGGGCGATATATGTACCAAAGCTGCTCAAGTTGGAGATCCGAGGCACTAATCAGTGGCGAGAATCCGATAAATTCGACGCAGATGGTTTAAAAAAAAAGGGAGTAAAGGTGGATGAGAAAAAACGTGCGGGACGGGGGTTGGGGGGCTCCGTCCCGACGCAAAGAGGCCCCCCCGAACCCCCAGAACAGGGGGGGTGTAAAGTTTAGTGGGTTGGGGGTAGGAAGGGGGGATTGCTACGCGCGAGAA